AAACTCAACCACTAGTAGCCTACTGTTGACCAGAAGCCTTATCAATAACATAGTTGATTAACACGTATTTTGTATGTGATGCATTATGTACTATGTTCTTAAAGTAAGCTAGAAAAAGGGAAATGTTAAATCCAAAGGAAGAGAAAATGTACTTACTGTTTATTAAGTGGAAGTGGATCATCACAAAGGTCTTTATCCTCATCATCTTCACATTGAGTAGGCCGAGGAGGAGGAGGTACAGGAGGGGTTGGTGTTGCTGTCTCAGGAGTAGCAGAGGCAGAATAAAATCTATGTATAATTGGACTTGTGTTGTTCAGGGGTCAACTATATTCTTGCTGCCTTGTTTCTATACTGTACTGTACTAATAGAACCGGGAAAGAATATCCAGTATACCACTGATAATCCAGGACTTCCTAATACACAGTACTGCTCAATTTTACATTTTTGGCTGTTCATCAGCAATGTTTCATTTGAATGTATATAAAACTATACAATCTTGTTGTTACACAAACTGCCCCTTTTTCTGGAAATAGGCTCACTTGATATAAAAAGAACTGTAAACATCAAAAAACACCCACAAATAAAGGCAAACAGAAAGACGTTTTTGGAAAAAAAGCATTTGTAAATGAGTTAGTATCCTTAAAGAGTTCCTACACATCCATGAGAAAACCATTTATAAACCGATGAGAAAAGGGAACAAAGGACACAAACACTGCCTAGAAAGAAGAGCATCAAAAAGAGTCAAATGCATGGGTACAGATTTAACCCAAAGTGATAACTTGTGCTTTACAAAACACCACAAAGCATTGCTGAAAGTTTTAAACGCCTAGATTGGAAAGATAATGCATGTTCTTGGGTTGGAAGACTTAACTGTTGTTAAGATGGCAGTGCTCCCCAAATTGATCTACAAATTCAACACATTCCCTCTCAGAATCCCAGGAGAAGTTTTTGCAGAAATTGACAAGCTGATCCTGAAATTCATATGGAAACTCAGGGGACCCAGAATACCTAAAACAATCTTCAAAAAGAAGAGTAAAGTTGGAAGACTCACACTTTCCAATTACAAAACTTACTAGAAAGCTATAGTAATCAGGACAGTGTGATACTGGCAGAAGGGTTGACGTAAACCCAAGGAATAGAATTGAGAGAGATAAACCCTCACTAGAAATGGTCAGTTGATTTTCAACAAGGGTTTGAAGATAATTAAATGGAGAATTAATGGTCTTTTCAACAAATAATGCAAGAATAACTGATATCGACATGCATGAAGTTGAGCCCCTTCCTCTCACTGTACACACTAACTCAAAGTGAATCACAGACCTAAGTGTAAGAGCTAAAACCAAAACTTTTAGAAGAAAACATAGTAATAATTCTCCATGACTGTGGAGTAGCACAGACCTTCTTAGATACAACACCAAAAGCACAAGTGACTTTTACAAAAGCAGATTAGTTGGACTTCATCAAAATTAAAACTGTTGTACTCAAAAGTGTATTATTAAGAAAGTGAAAAGACAGCCCATAGAACGAGAGAGAATATTTGTAATCTTATATCTGATCAGGAATTCCGGAATGTATGAAGAACTCTTATAACTCTTTCAGTGATAAAATAGCAAAGGATTTGGGTAGCTGTTTCTCTAAGTAAGATACATAAATGTCCAATAAACACATGAAAAGATGCCAACATCATTAGCTGTCAGGGAAATGCAAATCAAAACCACAAGCAGATACCACTTTACACCCACTTGGATGGCTAAAATTAAAAAACAGAGACAAATGTCACGGATGTGGAGAAATTAGAACTCTCATACGTTGATGATGATGGGATTATAAAATGATGTAGTCACTTTGAAAACCAGCATTTCCTCAGCGTTTCCTGATTTTAAATATAGAGCTACCATATGATTTAGCAGTCCCACTCCTAGATACATACCAAGAGAAATGAAAACATAACCATGCAAAAATATTTGTATATGATTGTTCATAGCAGTGTGATTCATAGCTACAAAGTGGAAACCACCTGAATGCCCATATCCCTCCCATAAACAATGTAGTCTGGCCATGCAATAAATAGTGTTCAGCGATAAAAAAGAGTGTTGATACATGGTGCAACATGAATGAAACTTGAGAACACTGTGCTAAGTAAGAGAAGATAGCCAAAAAAGATTGCACTTTATTCCATTTCTGTGAAATGTCCAGAATTTACAAATCTGTAGAGAACAGTGCATCAGTGGTTGCCGGGGCTTGGGGTAGGGGATTATGGTGAGTGATGGCTAGTGGATATGGGTTTCTTTTGGAGTGATGAGAATGTCATAAAATTAGACTGAGGTGATAGTTGCACAATTCTGTGAATATACCAAAAATCATAAAGTATACACTTTAAATGGGTGAATTTGATGGTGTATGAATTATATCAACTAATAAAACTGCTAAGAAGGAAAAACTCTTCCTTCTCTAACCAGTAATTGTACTCAGGAATCTATCCCTAAGGAAATGTTTTTATTCATCCATTCCTCCAATGTTTATTAAGTGCCACTCTTCTGGTGGGTATTCTTTAAGGTGCTGGGGATACAGCAGTGAACAAAATACATAACTAATCAGAATTCGATTAGAAATTCTGAGAATCAGATCTGAAAAAAATTTTTAAAAGGATGTTCACAATGTTAATAAAAAGCCAGAAACACCTAAATGGTCCAGTGGCAAACAAATTATGGCATATGGTGGAATGTTACATAACCATTTAAAATTTAAGTTTTCACAGAATAGTCACTGATGTGAGAAAAGGATATGGTAGGATGTGAAGGATGTAAAATCCTGTACATGAAATACTATATACTGCTATGAAATCAATATTATTTCTTTAGGTAATGGTGCTGAGTTTTGACTCAAGAGCCCACCTATTGATTGCTATTTCTTGTTTGTGTTTTTCTGAAGTGTCTAACTCTCCTAGAGTAAGATACATTATCTTCATGATCCTAAAGATCATCCGCATCCATTTCCCTGGGTTCCCACTGACACTAAGCAAAGCGCTGAACTGCTGCAAGCCTCACTTTTCAATGCTTCTATCAATAGGTTTGTTTCCCTTGAGGTTAAGAGTACAAAACCATGGAGAAAATCAGATTTGCTGCTGAATAAAACTGGTATTTTTCACATGTCAGTATGAGTATGGCATTGTCTGATTTGAAAGAGAAGAAGAAAACTAACAGAATAAGTGTCCACTCTTTGTTAGGAACTGCCTTTTTTTTCTTTGTGGCATGTTTCGTGTATTCAAGTTAGTTGTGTTTTGCTGCTTTTAGTATCAACCTGTCAACAATTTTCATTACATCGAGAGTTAATCCTTAGCGCTCATTATGTGCCAGGCATTTCCTCCCCACCCGCCCATCCCCCTCTTTTTTTTTAGAGACCAGGTCTTGCTCTGTTACCCCGGCTGGAGTGCAGTGGAGCAATCATAGCTTACTGCAGCCTCAACCTCCTGGACTCAAGTGATCCTCCTGCCTCAGGTTCCTGACCAGCTGGGACTACAGGCTTTTGCACTACCATACCTGGTTAGTTTTTTTATTTTTGTAGAGACACAGTCTTGCTGTGTTTCCCAGGCCGGTCTTGAACTCCCGGGCTCAAGCGATCCTCCTGTCTCAGCTTCCCAAGATGTTGGGATTACAGGCATTAGCCACCGTGCTTGGCCACCAGGCATTTTCATACATTACCACATCTGGTTCTTGTCAGACCCTACATCAACTCTGTGAGGAAGGTGTCATCGTCTCTGGTTCACGGATGAACCATTTAGGGCACATAGCTGGTGTGCACCAGAATCGGAACTGCAGTACCGTGCTGTTGATGCCGGAGCTGATGTCATTGCCCACTGTCCTGTGCTGCCTGCTGTGAAGCTGTGAGGTCAAAGAAAACAAGGTCATGCAGCAGGAGGGGTTTGCAGTCTGATCAGGGGATCTGGGCACACACTCACATAGACAAAGCAAGGAATGAAACAGTCCTAAAGTATAGAGTATGGAAAGCTAGGCAATAACAGAGCACACAGTAAAGTACTTATTGTTGGCCATAAACAGTAACTGAAATAGTTGAAAAGAAAACTGAAGATTACAAATGGCCTTTGCCAATTCCCAGAAATAAATACATTTATGTTGTTGTTTACATCCTCTACTTCATATCATCCCTCTTTACTTCCCTTTTAATTAATGGTAGAAGATTTGTTATTAAAAGGTAAATAAACAGTTGGTGTGTATATGATTTAGTTTCCTTTTTTAGATTGTGTTTCTTTTTTTTTTTTTTCTTGTGATGGAGTCTCACTCTGTTGCCCAGTTTGGAGTGTAGTGGCACATTCTCGGCTCACTGCAACCTCTGTCTCACGGGTTCAAGCAATTCTTCTGTCTCAGCCTCCCAAGTAGCTGGGATCACAGGCACGAGCCACCACACCCGGCTTTTTTTTTGAGACGGAGTCTCACTCTATCACCCAGTGTGGAGCACAGTGGCGTGATCTCGGCTCACTGCAAGCTCTGCCTCCCAGGTTCATGCCATTCTCCTGCCTCAGCTTCCCGAGTAGCTGGGACTACAGGTACCCGCCACCACACCTGACTGATTTTTTGTATTTTTTAGTAGAGATGGGGTTTCATTTCTTAGCCAGGATGGTCTCGATCTCCTGACCTTGTGATCTGCCCGCCTTGGCCTCCCAAAGTGCTGGGATTACAAGCATGAGCCACCGCACCAGGCCTTTTTTTTTTTTGTATTTTTAATAGAGATGGGGTTTCACCATGTTGGGCAGACTGGTCTTGAACTCCTGGCCTTTAGTGATCCCGCCCGCCTCGGCTTCCCAGAGTGCTGGGATTACAGGTGTGAGCCACCGCGCCCGGCCTAGATTGTGTTTCTTGAAGCTATGTGTGTTTTCTGCATTATTTGTAAGCTGAGGTTGTATCCAACTCATGACCAACATGTCGGCATGTGGTGATCTCTTGGTAAAATGTTTGTACTCATCTAATCTTTGGTTCTTGCAGGCGACGTGGCTGTATGGAATACAGATAACAAGTTTACTCCTGGTCTGCATTCTTCAGTTTTTAAATTCCATGATTCTTGGATCGCTGCTCATCAGTTTTAACCTTTCAGTATTCATTGCAAGAAAACTTCAGGTAGGACTTTTTTTTGCGCTTTATGGAAGTAACCTTTTTTTTAATTGCGTGGCTTATTGAACCTTATTTTCATACAGCATACAAAGAGAAATTTACGACCTGATTTCACACTAAAAAGCGCAAGTGGCATTGTGTGCTTTTTCATGTGCATGTGGTAGCATTTCGATTTCAAGCTTTCTGAAGTCATCTTTTTGTTTTGACAGTTATTTCTTAGAGAATTGGAACCTTACCTTCAATGTGGGGGTCGGCTAAAGGTGCTTGGTTGAATGTCACTGATTTAAAGTTGAAGTAAAACAGAAAAGTTTTTAATTTTCATGAGTGTGAACTCAGGAGTGAAAAGAGTCTCCTGCTTATGTTGGGAGCGTGTTCATCACAGTCTTTCACGTTGGTGGATACCCTGTTGTCATTTGATGTAGTAAAGCTACTCTTTTCCCCATCCTTCCATACCACACTAGTTATTTTTAGGTGAACCAAAATTAACTCTGTTTTGAGAATTTTGAAAATCCAAATAAATAGCTTTAGAAACAGTGGAACATTTCCTAGGGTATTGTCAAATCATGACTTGCTCTGATTTGCTCTTTTAGCTTTATTTATATAATTAAATTTCTTGTATTTACATAAGATATGAGTCATTTGTTTTTGCTTAAAATTATAACATCCTGTTTCACATACACTAGAAACATTTCTGTGTGAAGAAGCCATGGTTTTCCACTTTGAGAAAAAGAAATCATTTTTCTTATTAGTCTTTTGAGTGAGAATTGTTATGGACAAAGGCTTTTGACTATCAAAAACAGCAGTTCACAGTCATCCTTTTAACCTTAATTATAAATAAATACTACTCGTATTTGAACTGTTAAGATATTATTATATTTAACAATGTATAAAATTATCTGATGATTATAAGAAAACTATTACATGTCAAAAGGCACAATGTACTTCTTTTTACACCTATAGGTCTTTTATGTAACTGAGTTGTAACTATGTCTGTGATGTGGGAATTAATTGATAAAAGATGTAACAGGGCCGGGCAAGGTGGCTCATGCCTGTAATCCCAGCACCTTGGGAGGCCAAAGTGGGCAGTTCACGAGGTCAGGAGATCGAGACCATCCTGGCTAACATGGTGAAACCCCGTCTCTACTAAAAATACAAAACGTTAGCTGGACGTTGTGGCGGGCGCCTGTAGTCCCAGCTGCTCGGGAGGCTGAGGCAGGAGTATGGCGTGAACCCGGGAAGGGGAGCTTGCAGTGAGCTGAGATCGCTCTGCTGCCCTCCAGCCTGGGCAACAGAGTGAGACTCCGTCTCAAAAGAAAAAGAGAAAAAAAAAAAAAAAGATGGAACAGTTTGTTTGGTCAGCGTATCCTGAATACCTTCCAAATGGCAGACCCCAATCGTCCAGTTACTAAGGTCTTAAAAAATAATTAGGAAAAAAAAAAAGACTAGGATACATTTCCTCATCTTATGAAGCTCATTATTAAGTGACTCATTTACTGCTAGAAAATCACAGATATTAAGACAGTGTAACCCCATGAAAATGAGTAGGTTGTAATTTCCACGTGTGTTTTACCTTTATGTTGTATGAGCCAGTGTTTTTAAATCCTTAAGTAAGCTTATCTTCACTGTTTATGAAGTTATTTTAAAACTTAAGAATTAAAACATAACTCTTTTAATTTCTAGAAAAATCTGAAAACTGGAAGCTTCCTTAATAGGCTTGGGAAACTTTTGTTACATTTATTTATGGTTTTATGTTTGACACTTTTTCTCAACAACATAATTAAGGTAAGTTAATAAAATGACATATTTAATGTATTTTTAATTAACTTATGGCATTGGAGATAATTTTTGAAACTTTCTTTTTCATTTTTAATAAACTAATTGTTTTAGAGACTGGGTCTTGCCATTCCCCAGGCTGTCCTTGAACACTTGGTCTCAAATGACCCTCCCACCTTAGCCTCCCAGGTTGCTAGGACTACAGGTGCCACCACACCTGGCTTCTTTGAAACTTTCAATTTTAAATAAATTCTTGCTTTATAAAGTGTATTACCGTGACTGGAGAGTTACCAGTTTTACTTCAAACAGGCTCAGTTTTAACTTTGTCTTAGTAACAACGATTATTTTATTGATTTTAGTCATTCATTTCTGTGTACTCTTATGTCCCACCTTGAACTTACTCACCTTTTGTTATGAAACTTTTAAAAGCTTAAAAAGCATTGAACAAATATTTCCCTAAATTTAAAACTTATTTTTAGTACCATAATATACACATAGCTTTCTGTACTGTGGTACTTAAAAAAAAAAGACATGATTTTTATTGAGTTCAGTTAATAAGTAAACTGGCCTTACTATCTACTTTCTGCTAGAAGAAGAGTTAAGCTCATTTTTCCCAACATTTAACTGACTTATATGTAACATGCCTAACAGAACAACTCATTTAGTAACGTAGGCATCCATTGGTTTTATGTCCAGTAGGTGCTTTGCTAAGATTTTTACATTGCCCCAGGGGCTCTGCTTAGTTTAACATACTTTTTAAATGTTTTTATTGGCTTTTTAATTTTTTTTCAGGGTAGGCTTTATTAAAGGTATAGTTCTTGGACCTTGATATCCCATTTGTTTTTATGCTAGAGCAAAACTACACTGATTTCTTCAGATAATTTTGCCTGTCCTAGAAGGTCGGTCTCAGGATAGGAGGCATCTGCAAAACAAGCTCCTTTTCCACAAGAGAACTGTGGTCCTTGTTCACGTCTGTTGACTATCAAAGAAAAAGAGTCTTCACTCAGCCAGTCACTATGTCACTGTGTTCTTTTTTTTGTTTTGTTTTGTTTTGTTTTTTTGGACAGAGTCTCTCACCCAGACTGGAATGCACTGGTGTGGTCACGGCTCACTGCAGCCTGGATCTCCTGGGCTTAGGTGTCCTCCCACCTCAGCCTCCTGAGTAGCTGGGACTATAGATGCATATCACCACGCTAATTTTTGTATTTTTTGTAGAGACAACGTTTTGTTGTGTTGCCCAGGCTGGTCTTAAACTCCTAGGCTCAAGCAGTCCACCTGCCTTGGCCTCCCAAAGGATTATAGGCATGAGCCACCATGCTCGGCTGTCAGTATGTTCTTAAACTCCATACAGTCCAGTACTTGTCAATAATTTATTTTTAAATTTCTACTTTTGTTTCTGTTTTTGTTTTTTTGAGACGGGATCTCACTGTGCCACCCAGACTGGAGTACAGTGGCACGATCTTGGTTCATGGCAGTCTTGACCTCCTGGGCTCAAGCAGTCATTCCACTTCAGCCTGAGTAGCTGGGACTACAGGTGTGTGCCACCACACCTGGCTAATTTTCACAATTTTTGTACAGATGGGATCTTGCCATGTTTCCCAGGCCGGTCTCAAACACCTGGGCTCAAGGTATCCCCCCACTTCAGCCTCCCACAGTGCTAGGATTACAGACACGAGCCGCTGCACTCAGCCAAAAGCTTTTTTTTGAGTTGATGAATACCCCATTTATCCTGGTGGGATTATTACACACTATATGCTTGTAAAAAAATATTCATATACTCCATAAATGCATACATCTACTATGTGCCCACAAAAATTAAAAAGCTTATTCAAAGCCAGGTATGGTGGCTTATGCCTGTAATTCCAGTATTTTGGGAGGCTAAGGTGGGAGGATCGCCTAAGGCTAGCTAGGAGTTCAAAACCATCCTGGGAAACATAGCAAAACCTAAACTCTACTAAAAAATTTTTTTTCAAAACTTATTTGAGTGGAACTGCTAGCATTTCTGGAAAAGTGGCCAAAAGATACACAATTCTTCCATTGACCCACTATACATATTCAGTGACCTGTTCTTGGATTAAATCAGTAAAGAGCTGCATCCCTGAACCACCATTTTTTGAATCTCCAAAGAATAACATCTGTTGAATTGCATTTGATGTCTTGCCAGTGACGTACAACAAGAGGAAGTAGAGAAACTTTTCCTTGAAAGTCCTTGCTGTTTTTGCTGTACCCATGGGAAAAATTTATTTTGAGTCTCAGTTCTAGGACTGTTAGGATCTCTTCTGAGCAACTGTTTTGTTTTACTCTTATAAATCTGTGAGTGACATAAATATATTGACCTACCTCTTTGCATTTGCTGCTGGAATGCAAAAGACCAGATTTGTGGCTCATCTCTAATGAATATATTGTGTGTACTGAACTCAGTTGTGGCTTCATGTTTTTTCCCTATCTTCATTTTTCTTCAAATAGAATGTCTTCACCATTTGTGTTATTATATATGGATTTTTAAGCCACAAATTTAAAATAGAATTATATGAGTTAAAATTGTAATCACTAATGATGAACACTCATATTTGTCTGTCCACCCCTTGAGGGTTACAACTTGAATTGTCTTTGAGTGAATAAGTCTTGGATCGATTGTATCCGCAGACCAAAAGCCCCAAAGCCCGACAGGCCTTGTGGGTGGTGTATCTATTTGAGGTTTCAGATCATCGTCTTGTCAGTTTTCTGGTCTGAAAACTTATGCTCACTATGCCTCAGCCTTCTCCCTCTCCCTGAAACCAAAAAATCTCATCTTTTACCTATTTTGCATATTTAACTTATGTATAAGATGTTTTTTGAATAAAGGATTATGCTAAAATGGGGAGTGGGGATTGGAAGGAGTTTGGAAGTCCCTGCTTTGGAATTCCTCAGTTCTGAGAACTACTGTGAACATTTACTGATTTTATACACCCACATCCTCCTATGAAATTGGACACTGAATATATAAATTCAATGAGAAACTATCAGAAAACTATGCCTAAAGGACTAATAGCAATTTTTGTTTTCTCTTTCCTCGATAGAAAATTCTTAACCTGAAGTCAGATGAACACATATTTAAATTTCTGAAGGCAAAATTTGGGCTTGGAGCAACAAGGTATAACTGAATTGAAAATCTATGTTTGCTATTTTCTGTTGAATCAGCAGGGACTTTAAAACTTAAGTTGTCATTATGCCTTCACCTATTAATTACAGACTCCCTTTGAGGAAAGATGTAATGTCATTTCTTTGTCTTGTATTGAATTTAATACTTTGCTTTCCATTTGTTCCCTAGGGATTTTGATGCAAATCTCTATCTGTGTGAAGAAGCTTTTGGCCTCCTGCCTTTTAATACATTTGGAAGGCTTTCAGACACTCTGCTTTTTTATGCTTATGTATTTGTTCTGTCCATCACAGTGACTGTAGCATTCGTTGTTGCCTTTCATAATCTCAGGTATGGTATATTTCAGAAATCTAATGCTCTCCTATTAATGAACTTGTTCCATGTTGCAGAAAAATTGCAAAGTTGAAAGTCAGAATATCAGACACAGAACAGAGTAATAGTATTCATCTTAAAGGGGGAACATACCTCTTTTACAGTGGACTACACTCCCAGTAGTTAAGAGACAACAGAGTAACGATCAGATTGCATACGGTCTGGGCCTAAGTCTTGGCCTGCTCACTTGGGGACAAAGTGATCCTTGAGTCAGTTACATAACCTTTCGATATGTCCATTTCCTTATCTTTAGAATGGGAAGACTAAGAGTACTTACTCTACAGGGTATTTGAGAAATAAGTAAGTCAGAACAACATAAAGCACTTAAAATAGTGTCTGGTGCCTAGACTTTGGCAGGTACAAGCCATCATGAACTGGTTTCATTATCACTGTTGACTTGTAAGCCTCTGTTGTGTTTCCATCATTAGCATCCTGTGTTTTTCTCCCTTCCACCTGTAGCTGCTTTTTTGTATTCCTCTTGAAATGTAAGAGTTAATTAATTATTGCTCATTTGTTTTCTTGCATCTTGCTTCAGGGCTGATAATATTGGAGTGGACCATAATTATTAGTATCTACTGAAAGTTTTGAGTAATAACTGCTAGTTTTAAAAAACTTAGCATGTCTACTAATCTACTGAAAGAAAAAAATCAAGAGTATAAAGGCTTTTTAAAAACTTGTAAGAATATCTATCCATCAAGCTGCTGGGGGGTTTGCATTGACTGTTCGTGTTAAACTGAAAGAAAATTAAGTGTAAGAAGTTGAAGCTACTGTCATTTGTGAAAACTTAATGAAGCTCAGGAGGAAGCCCTTTTTCTGTAGTTACCTTGCTAATTAAGATGCTGGTGAACTGTGATTCACAGCCACGAGAGAGCTGTCATTAAAATGAGTCCAGAGCAGTTGAGAGGTTTTATGATTATTAAGAATGAAGCAACATTGAACCATGAAAATATTTCATTGACCATAAACTATTTTACTATCTTTCAGAAGTGTTCTTTTTTATACCTAACCCAAGATAAAATTGAGCCCTGTGAAAATAGATGGAAATTATTCTGGACAGTGTGATTTAATATTATTCCAGACATACCAAGTGTCGACAGGACTCTAGACTGCATACAAAGCAGGAAGTTCAGTGGGCCTGCAGTATCTTTGTGAAGATATCTGCCATGCCCTGTGTGAATCTATGAGCCATCTCTGGAGGCTGATTTGGTACATGATCATAGATAAAAAGATTTTAGAGCATCTTCATCTACCAGATAGGGATATTAGGATTTTATTGGAGGAAAAGCACTACATTAAAGTAGTTAGAGAATCATAGTACAGTCATGTGTCACTTAACAAGGGGGACATGTTCTGAGAAATGCATGTTAGGTGATTTTATCATTGTGCGAATATCATAGAGTGTACTTACACAAACATAGATAGTATGGCCTACTACACACCTAGGCTATATGTTATGACCTACTGCATCTAGGCTACAAACCTGGACAGCAAGTTACTATGTTAAATACTGTAGGCAATTGTAACACAATGGTACGTATTTGTGTAACTAAATATATCTAAACATAGAACAGGTACAGTAAAAATACAAAGGCCAGGTATGGTGGCTCACGCCTATAATCCCAGTGCTTTGGGAGACTGAGAAGGATTGCTTAAGGCCAGGAGTTCTAGACCAGCCTGGGCAACATAGCAAGACCCCATCTCTACAAAAAAAAAAAAAAAGAAAAGAAAAGAAAAATTAGCCAGGCATGATGTGTGCAAACTGTAGTGCTAGCAAGTTGGGAGGCTGAGGCAGGAGGATCACTTGAGCCCAGGCATTTGAGGTTTCAGTGAACTATAATTGCACCATTGCACTCTAGCCTGGATAATAGAGGGAGACCCTATCTCTATTTTAAAAATACCGTATAAAAGATTAAAAATTATATACCTATATAGGGCAACTACCATAAATGGAGCTTGCAGGACTGGAAGTTTCTCTGTGTGAGCCTGTGAGTGAATGTGAAGGCCTAGGACGTTACCATACACTATTGTAGACTTTATAAACACTGTGCACTTAGGCTACAGTAAATCTATTTAAGAAACAAAGTGACTGTGCTGTGACATTATGATGGCTATGATGTCACTAGGCAATAGGAATTTTTCAACTCCATTATCATTTTACGAGTCCACTGTGGTAAGTGTCATCTGTTGTTGGCCGAAATGTTGTTATGTGGCACGTGACTACGTCCAAATGTGAATTAACTTTTAAATAAGGGCCTTTTGTCAGTGCCAAGTTTTTTTTTTTTTTTTTTTTTTTGAGACGGAGTCTCGCTCTGTCGCCCAGGCTGGAGTGCAGTGTCCGGATCTCAGCTCACTGCAAGCTCCGCCTCCCGGGTTTACGCCATTCTCCTGCCTCAGCCTCCCGAGCAGCTGGGACTACAGACGCTCGCCACCTCGCCCGGCTATTTTTTTGTATTTTTTACTAGAGACGGGGTTTCACCGGGTTAGCCAGGATGGTCTTGATCTCCTGACCTCGTGATCCGCCCGTCTCGGCCTCCCAAAGCGCTGGGATTACAGGCTTGAGCCACCGCGCCCGGCCGTCAGTGCCAAGTTTTTAAAGTATTGCTACCTTTTTAGTACTAGGAAGGATGATACTATGACTTGCTTTGTTTTGTTTTGTTTTTGAGATGCTCTCACTCTTGCCTGGGCTGGAGTGCAGTGGTGCAATCTCATCTCACTGCAACCTCTGCCTTCTGGGTTCAGGCAATTCTCCTGCCTCAGCCTCCTAAGTAGCTGAGATTATAGGCACGCACAACCACCTCTAGCTAATTTTTGCATTTTTAATAGAAACGGGGTTTCACCATGTTAGCCAGGCTGGTGTTGAACTCCTGACCGAAAGTCATCTGCCTGCCTCAGCCTCCCAAAGTGTTGGGGTGACAGGCATGAGCCACTGCACCCTGCCAGATAACTAACTTTTATGCAGCACGTCTGCATTAGTGTGAGGGGTACATCTGAAAGGGGAACAGTGTTCTGTGTTCATGGAATTAATCAGAGATTTCCAGTTTGGCTGGGTTATTGGGGAGGTGCTGAGGACTTCTCTTAGGTATCTAGAGAGGATAAGAGCAGATACTCTCCTTGTCTGTTTTATTTTTATTTACTTTTCACACCTTGCCCTGTTTATGGATATTCTCCTTGTTTAGAGTATCCTTTTTGTACCAGTAGAGAAACCAGTGTTTGGGTTGTAATATTTCCTTTAAGATTCCAGTGGTGAATTACCAATGGTGAGAACAGCCTTAGAATATCCTTTTAATTTTCCTATGTATCTATGGTAGGAAAAAAAGGATTTCTGGGAAATAAAAAAGGTCAGATCTTTAGTTATATAGAGAAGCATCACAGGTGCCCAGTTCTATTGGGTATGTATGAAGGGATTAGTAGACCTTCATGAAAGTTTCATCTTTAACTAGTAGCCTTTACTGTTGTTTTCTTTTTCCCTCGACAACAAATTGTGCAACATCTAAACACTGATCAGTCTTAACATCACTGAAGTGGAGACAGCCAGGCAATGTGTGCTTCCCAGTGTAATGCGATGTGGAGTAGAGCTGTCCCACTTTCTGTGGGAATATGTTTCAAGTTCCTCAGTGGATGCCTGAAACTTTGGATGGTTTCAGACCCTCTCTATACTATGTTTTTTTCCCATATATACATCCCTGTGATAAAGTTTCATTTGTAAATTAACCGTGGTAAGGGATTAACAATAATCATAAACTACAACAATCAATAGCAACATGCCAGCATCACTTCTCTTGCACTTTGGGGTCTTAATTAAGTAAAATAAAGGCTGCTTGAACACAAACAATACAGGGACATTTAAATGTATCTTACTTTATTAGTAGTTTAGTAGCTGAATGTATCTGCTTGTCTGTCTTGGGTGGGTGGGTAGAGTATACAGTGTGGAAACACAGGAGCAAGGGATGATGATCTGTGTCTCAGGTGGGACAGACAAGGATGGAGAGATTTCATCATGCAACATAGAATAACGTGTAATTCAGCACTATGAATAGCTTGTTTCTGGAATTTTCCATTTAATATTTTCGGACAGCAGTTTCCTCAGTAACAAACCACTGAAAGTGAATCCACAGATGAGAGGGGACTACTGTGCATCATAACCCCGTGAAGTGTTCTTGCCAAAACCCTGAACTTGTGTCTAATAAACCTCTAGATCTAATTACGAGTTTACAAGAAGCATGAAGTGTATAACCACCCCTGTGAGCCACACCTGGGAGACAGGAACAGTGTCAGGACATATGTTCCGTGTTCTTCCCCAAACAAATGGCCTGCTTTTTAAAAAAAGGAGATACTTTTATAGATCAGAAGATATTTAAAGAGATGTGTTAGTGAAATGCAACGTGCAGTTCTTAGTTCCTGATTCAGAGAAACCTGAAAAAAGCAGTTGATGCAAACAGGGAAAATAGAACATGAACTGGGTATTAGATGATGTTAAGGAATTAATGTTACTTTTATTGGGTATAATAATTTTAATGTAACTGTGTTTGATAAAAGTCATATTTTGGATATCAGGAGGTATTGGTAGGTTAAAAATGTGATTTTTGAGGGTTCATAAGGAAATTGAATTCCAAGTTAATAGATGTGTTTTTTGCTTTTATTTGTAAAAATTTGAAAAATACTCATAACTAGTAAAACATCTTTTAAAGATCTCTTTCAGTTTCAGAGATTCCAAAAAAAAATTTGGTTTTTTTTTTTTTGCATTCTCTTTTTTTTAAAGAATTGAAGCACTTTAAATTTTTACTTCAAAGCTGCTGTGAAATTTCAGTTTTTCTCATTATTAATGCATTTATATTGTTACACTTTTAGCCTCATAAATTCAAAATTGATCAATGCAAATTCATTTCATCTTATGGAAATAATCAATTTCTGAATATATAAAGGCATACATTTCTTGTATCTTCTTCTTTTAAAAAGATCTAACTAAAATTATGTTTCCAGCTCAAATTTTGTATGTTGCTGTTTTACTCAGTGATTCTACAAATCAACAATCCGTGGGTAAAACGGAAAAAGGCACAGTTAACCTGAAACCAGAAACTGCCTACAACTTAATACATACCATTCTGTTTGGATTCTTGGCATTGAGTACAATGAGGTATTTTTCTTACCTGTTTGTTTACTTTTTAATTTGACCACTCTTGATGTTACTTAGCAATATAATGTGGAAAGTGACAGTCATCTTCATTAATAATCATGGTTCCCATAAAATCATCCTTATATACTACCTTCTCTCGGTATAAAATATTCATCATCAGTTTTTACAATTAATTACAAACATGCCTTTACGTTTTACTCAAAATATAGTCCTCAAAAGGCAGTGGAGTTAAACAACGAACCCTTCGGCAAATGGCATCTGTATAGTTTTAAGTAAGATTTTGCCGTCATAGACTGTAAAGCTGCCTTTACAGGTATCTCAGAATCCAGGTTTATATACAACTAGTACTTCCTGACTTGCGCCTGTGTCTGTTCTTGCAGAATGAAGTACCTCTGGACGTCACACATGTGCGTGTTCGCATCATTCGGCCTATGTAGCCCCGAAATATGGGAGTTACTTCTGAAGTCAGTCCATCTTTATAACCCAAAGAGGGTCAGTGTCATCCCTTTTTCCATCTCCTTTTGTGACTTGTAGTATTTCTTTCATACTACTTTTTTTTGTTTGTTTTTCAGTAGCAGTGAGATAAAATGGATACTGAAATTGAAGCTAAAAATACATAATTGATATATTAAGATTTTATAGGGAATTATTTTAAAATAATTTTATTTTTAAAAATTACTTTTTTCTCAGACTGTAAGTTAGATATATTCATTATACAGAATTTGAAAATACAAAAAAAGCACAAAAGGGGAATTAAAATTACCAATACTCCCCTTGTCCGGAATTATAACTGTTATTATTATAATGTATTTTCATAAAGATAATTATTAATACATGTATGACCATTTTTCAATAGCCTATAAATGCAGTTTTGAATTGTTCTACTCCATAAATTCACTAGGTGGCAATATGGTAGAAGCTGCAGATATCTCACAAATGATTAGAATCCTCATATCGACTCAGTTATTCTGCATATTGGAGACTTGTGCTCCATTAAATTATATTTATGGTATATTTTTAAGTCATATATTTACAAAGCAAAACTGTAAGTCAAAAGTGTTTTAAAAAACTGGGCACAGTGGCTCACTCCTATAATCCTAGCTGCTCAGGAGGCTGAAACAGGAAGATCACTTGAGCCCAAGAATTCCAGGCCAGGCTAGGCAACATAACACAATCCTGTCTCTCAAAAAAGAAAAGGTTCAAAATACTTGTAATCTAAATAATGTCTTTCTTATATAGATATGTATAATGCGATATTCAGTACCGATATTAATACTGCTGTATCTATGCTATAAGGTAAGACTGATTTTCCTCATTCTTGTCATTCATTTATTTAGCAAAATAATTGCTTTGATTCAGTGTATTTTTTGTATTATTTGGCAAATAGAGTGGTTTGTGGAGGTTATAAATACCTCCTTAGCTTCTTACTGCAGGTGACATTGATTGGAAAACGGATCTTTTTCCCAAATAGTTTTAACAAGTAAAAACATGATAGCAAAAACTACTATAGCATTTAATAATTCTAATTAATTTTGATTTAGACTATTAATATTCAGCTGATGCAAATTCTGAAAATAAGGTGTTTTCAGGCTATTTTGAAATGAAAGAAAAATTATTTTCCCATTACCTGATTTATATAGACTAAGAGATTTTTAAATGTATCTTACTTTAAGCTCCATGTTTTGTTAGATGCTTATCTTCATAAGAGAATTAGACACATAAATAAATAGTGTCTAAGGCTAGGCTTTTTTAAATCTGTTCTTCAGTATCAATAGGAAGTATTTGAATTTTTCATATTCTCATTTGACTAGTTTCTGAAACAGCATGAACTGCCCTTTAATTCAGATGTTATCAGAGACAATGATCATTGGTCAGGTTGACTGTGGCTTTTTGTCACATCTTTGACACTGACAGTCTTGAATCATCACCAGGGCAGATAGCACAGACTGTTTTACCCAATTGAGCTTCTGACCTCTCTTTTTAAAAAACTTAACATACTAAGTTTAGATTTTTTTTCCTTTAAGTTTTACTTTGAGTTAGAATGACGGATTTCAGACTCTGCCGTGTAGAGTTGTTCTCTGATTCGGGAGGGTGGCTAAAAGCAGGGGTGATGGGGCCTCCCACAGAGAGGATCAGCTAGAGCAGCGCAGCTTTGGGGTTTATTTGCTTATATTTTCATGTAGGGTTTTGTGAACCAAAGGTTTCAGGCTAAAGAAAATATTGCTAAATACTATATTGTAAATATTTCAAAGAAATGTGTTCTGTCATGAGCCTATCAAAACATTTACCATTAGCAAAACTCTGTGCTAAAATAGATTTATGCCTCCCCACCTCTGGGAATTTTATTGCTCTAATGTAAATAACTGAAACTCATTAAAAACATCTAGACACCAACAATTAAGGATTAAACAGTATATGTTACTGAGGAGTCCAGTCAGTTTACCTTTCTTTACACAATGATGCTGAGGATTAAAGCACACTCCTCACAGAAAAGATAAAGCCCATGAATGTTTTTCTCACCACTGAAGCTGTACCAGACAATAACCATCTTTCACACTGCCTGTGTGCATGTAGGTTCAGTTCTTTTATGTCTCAGCTATCTATTGAAATTTTACGGATTTTTTTTTTTTTTTTTTTTTTGCTGTTTGAGGACGGAGGTCATTTGTTTGTAATAAAATGGAAGAAGGGCATTGTATAAGAAGTAAACTTTCCTAGGGAGCCCTAACTCTTGAAGCATGGTCCTCAGATAAACAGCATCAGCATCTCTTGGGATCCTGTAAACATGCATGTGTTGGGGTCCCACTCCAGACCTACCAAGTCAGAAGCGTGGGAGTCCAGTACAGAAATATGCACTTAACCAGCCCCCCAAGTTTAAGAACCCCCTGCTGTAGCGTTTACAGGGTTTCTCAGCAGTGGCACATTGACATTTGGGCCAGAGAATTCTTTGCCGCCTGGGGCGGGGGCCGTCCTGTGTGCTATAGGCTGCTCTGCGGCACCTTCACCCTCTGCCCGCTCATTGAAGCACCTCTCCCCTGTCACCACACATTGCCAAACACCCTGGGACTAGGGCTGGGGGCACAATCTCTCCCCTCACTCCTCTTGAAAACCACTGCTATAGAAGAACCAGGACGGCTAAAGAAGCCATCATCTCCAGGAAATCCTTGCAGGTTTTCCCTGAATAAGGGAGTTAGTATCCTAAGGAATCCTCTAAAAGACTGTTGGCCTAGCCTCTTGATACAGGACTTCAGGAGAAATCCTAATGCATTCTGCTTTCACTGTGTAAAATAGTTCAGATATTTCATCTCCACAAAACATATATAAAATCACAGAGAAAATAAAGATGTTACGGGTATGAGGGGTTACCCTGAAACTGAATCTGTTTTCCAACTATTCCAGCTGTTACAGACTTACCTGTAAGTAACGTGAATTCATGTTTCAAAGCCTGATTTCAGTTTTACATTGCAATTGTAATTAGGGTTTCAAAATTTCTTGTTTATACTACTAATTTTACTGTATCTCTCTTTAGGATAAGCCTATTAAAAGGAAAAAAGCATGTACTAGCCTCCACTCTGAAGTCAAGACTTTAGTAAAATTAGTACATTGGTCTTGATTAACTTATGTGGATTGCTGAAATCCCTACTGTTGATTGGTAAAAACAGCAGTTAGTTAATTCAGCACTTTCATATGGTTAAAGGAGTTTGCCACAAAATTCTCACTAGCTTTTAACATTTTCAGAATTAGTAACTTTCAAACTAGAAAAATACCTAATATTCATTGAGTTCACAGATTTCAAATATGTTTATGCTGTAAGAATTAGAGCATTTCATTAAAAAGTTGGTATTCTATTGGTTATCAAATTAATAAGGAAAAATAGATCATTGAAATATTACAAAGGTATCATTTAATCAGTAATTTTTACTACATCTCTTCCAAAAACTAGAACCAGAAGTCCTGACACCTGGTATCCCATCACTAGCAATTTTCCTGATTCACCCACCCAGGAGACAAGATTTGAATGAGCAGTAAAAATGGCCAAAGATGAGATGACCAAAAAAAAAGTGATAGGTCTCAAACACAGCCAGAGATCAATCAGGTGCTGCTTTAATTCTACTAGTGGTTCTTAAATAAAAGTATTCTATTTTCTATGTCAGTGGCGCATACATACGTTGTCACTGGTGGTCTGTGCTAATATGTGAAATGAATTCTGCCTTTAACCTTAGGATGTATATAGATATGATCAAGTCTTTTTAGTCAACTGTCATTTGATAAAAACAATTAAGATTTAGTTAATTGTTGGATTAAATGGACTTAAGGTATTAGATAAGTGGGTTACTCAGAGAGTAGTTTTTATATTTTATTTACAAAATCTTAAGTAACTCAAGTTGACCAGGAGGCACCAAGTGGTATAAATAGAACCAGATGTACCAGATTGTCCTGGAGAGCCCTACATTTAAAGATTCTTCTCTCTCATTGTACCAGCAATTATATTAATATATGTCAAACCATTTGACCAGATTTCTAGTACAAAAATACAATCATGCTATTATGAAATGAAAAGGGGGCTGGATTTGGAGCCAGGGTCCAGGTTGTAGCTCTGCCACTTGTGACTTGGTCAAGTCAGATACCTCTCTGAGCCGCAGTTTCCACACTTCTAAATGAAAAATAAATCCCAGTGGGTGATGCTGCCTGTTGAGTCATCCATGTCATGGGTTATTGTGAGGATAAAACAATGCCATATTCTAAAACATTTTTGCAGCCATAAAACGGCTCTGTCTTCTACGGGATACATTCTACTTTTGGGGGTAAATTGTGTGGTATTAGTTAATTACATATTCCTAACAGACTCTGAGCTTTCTCATGGTTGGCATTTTTGTCATGTCAAGATAATGTTTTGTCAGGTATTAACATCACATACAATAGCATTTTTATTGGAGCAAGCTAAAAGGCTCATTTTTTAAAGTTGGCGATACCTCTCATCCTGATTAGCTTCAGATGAAGATAATTTCAGACACTTCCCAGATGCCAGTTCCCTTGTATTAGGAGGGTTGCTGCAGAGGTGAAATAGTTGTATATTCAAGTTGCCATGTTTGTTTAGTTCACACATTATATGCAGTTTATCTTTTTTTCATTTAATCTTAGTGATAGTTGTGGGTATAGGGGTGGATTTTGTTTTTGTTTTGTTTTTAATTTCAGTTCTGGCCAGGAATGATGGATGAACTCTCCGAGTTGAGAGAATTCTATGATCCAGATACAGTGGAGCTGATGAACTGGATTAAGTAAGAGGATTTTTTTTAACTTTTAAAATTGTAAGTGCCTTTTAAGAGTCACTATAGACCACATTTGGTTTTGGGGGGTTTTTGTTTGTTTCTGAATCTAATTATGAAGAAACATTCGTCCTTACTAAATTTTTCTTTAAAACTCCATAATTGAAAATAACGTCTTTCTATTCAAGAAATATTCTCTCCAACTGTATCTCATGAAGAAAGGGAAAATACCCATTTGGAAAGGAAAACAATTGCAATAAAGACATTTCAAACCACTGACAGAAATGGCAATAAAAGTTTATTTATAGTATCTGTTGAAACTTAAAACTTTATGTCTCTGCCAATTTTATCTTTATTATTTTCATTTTAATACCATTCTGATTTTCTACTAATGGTGACACTTGAAAGTATTCTTTCTGGCCAGGCACAATGGCTCACGCCTGAAATCCCAGCACTTTCGGGGGCTGAGGTGGGCTTATCACCCGAGGTCAGTAGTTCAAGACTAGCCTGGCCAACATGATGAAACCCCTTCTGTCTCTACGAAAAATACAAAAATTAGCCAGGCAGGCGCCTATAGTCCTAGCTACTCAGGAGGCTGAGGCAGGAAAATCACTTGAACTCGGGATGGGGAGGTTGCAGTGAGCCGAGATTACGCTACCACACTTCATCCTGGGCGACAGAGCGAGACACTCTGTCAAAAAAAAAAAAAGGAAATATTCTTCCCTCATTAATTATTTTTAAATTATACTGTAAACTCCAGTTAAGTAGAGGCTTATGCCAGCTCAGTGCAGATTTTATGTTAACTCATCATATTGCCAAAGCTTAGGACCAGAGAAAGTTTTAGATACAAAACTTGGCACCTTCCGTCTTGAATATAATGCTTTAGTGTCCTGTTGGCTCTTATTTCTTCTGGCACTTTGTTGTTTTGCCTCAGTATTCAGCATCTGAATGAAATTTGTGTATTTCAAAGCTTTATTAACAAAACCTGCCTCCCACCAGCAAAAATAAACTTTTCTACCTAGAGCACCATTCCTATGCCCTGGAACACTGTATTTCCCTACTTTTAACCAGAAAGCCTTATTCACACGTAAATAGAGGCTGCGCATCCCATGTGGTGCCTTCTGAAAACATTGGCTGGATTGTCTGCATCACTTGGGATGTTAGTGACCGTTTCAGCACCTGCCCATGGCTAACATCAGCCCTGAGTGTCTGCAGAGATGGTCAGTGCTTGATAGCTGAGGCCTTCTAGGTCAACGCATGGATCTCATAGAGATTTATGTCTAAAACATACCCATGGCTTTGGTCTTAATATCGGGCTGGGTGTGACTAGATTCAGTCAATGTAATTTTTCACATATTTCTAGTGCTGAGAGCAGTAAGCCGTGCTTTGTCTTTATTTATTTAATTTTAAATCATGCCAGACAATTACAGAGTAAATAATTCCTTCAGTATTTATTATGTACAGGAAAAGAGAGTTATTCATGTAAAGGAAAGCTAATTTTGCATTAACTATAGTCAGCTGGAAATTTATGACGTACATCTGAAGTTGAGGCTGATATTTTCTATTTTCAGGACTCTACTGTTGAAATTAATGCTGGAGGACCCCTGCTTTCTGGTAGCATCCTGAAGGTGGTGGGTCTTCTGGATCTCCTTAGATGAGCACCATAAACACCCCAGTCTTTCAGGAATTAATTACAAAGTCATTAAAAATGTATTCTAGCAGAGCCCCAGGTTATCTTTGGCAGTCTTAGACTAGATATATTTATTTGTAGTGCCTTTATTTTTATATTTTTCCCCACAGAAAATTAAAGTAACATTTCTGGCTGTGAAAAATTGTGGATGAGAGATGATTCCAGGTGTAAAGAAGAGAATACAAGTGTCCTATTTCCCTTGTTTGGGAGGTGATGTTCACTCTTCAGACCCTCCTTTTGTTAACAGCTCCTCTCCCTGTAGTGCCTTTGTAGTAGACATACTCTTTTGGCTTTTTTTTTTTCCTCAGCAACTGAAGGATTTGCATTGTTCCAAAAAATTTGTTCTATTGTGATCTAGTCTCAGCTTTTTCCCCTAAAATTCTTCAAATCTAAATAATATTTTTGTAAAACCAGCTGCTTGGCATGTTTGCAAAGTAAGCGTAAGTGGTGATGAATGTAGGCCAAAATAGGGTCTATGTAGACATCATATATGTTTGTTTAAATCAACACTCAAATCCACACTAGCCTGTAAGGCGTGGATTCCAAACGCAAGTGACTGCCTTAATATTCTTTTAACCTGCCCTGATTTCTTCTGTTTTTGAGACATAAAATATGACCTTCAAGTTTCACCTCACTGCTTTGATTAGTCACACGGTATCCATGTTATTAGCAAGTATGAATTGCGCTGGAGAAAAGGCTGCGGCCTAAGGACTCTTTCAAATGCATGGGCTGCGTCTGAAAGAGTCCCAAGATGCCTGGCAGAGAACCAGCACTGTCCCTGAGGGCTGCCTCTGTCCTCCCCTGCCTGTCTTCCTGTCTGCCCTGTTCCCAGACAGTCAAAGCAGACACACTCAAATGTCTGTCTGCTGCCCATGCAGTCATCACGGCATCTGTCTGACAGGGGCACAGCCTCCATTGTGGGAGGGATGGCTGTCCTTGGGATGAATCACAACTGGAGAAATAGTGGCCTGCAGAAACCCTGGGGACACCTCAAGTGACCCTCCATTTTGGCACACAGCACCCCTTATGTGAAGTGTTGAAAAGAAGCTTATCCGTCCTCTTCATCACTCACATACCTGGAAGTGTCCCGCCCCGTGTCCTTGCTGCTGGGGAAAGCCACACCCCACACGAGGTGTCACTGTTGTGCTCCTGGACACAGGGCTTCGGCTCGGAGATTCAGGCTTTCCAAGTATTCTCGGAGGGCTTCTCTGCTTTGAGGGTAAATTGAAAGATGTGGTTGCCTCAGTGGGAGTTGGTTCTTTCTTTTTCAGAGGCTGAAGAGATATCCTCAAGGGAAAACAAAAGGCATTACTCGAGGGGAACACTTAAAATGAGAAGGGTCATACCCAAGGGATTGGATTCCTGTGAAGACTCTTAAAGCCTTAACTAATTTATAGAGTTATTCCACATCTGAAGTTGTGCACTTGTTAATAGAGTTCAGCAGATGTTCATTGAGCACCAGCTGTGTATGGGCACCACGTGAAGTGTGTGGATGCAGGTGGCACTCCACTGCAGCTGCCTCTCACTGGAGTAACTGCTGGGCTTCGCCTCAGCACAGTTGCCCTCATACTTCTCTCCCGGATTCTCACTCTCTACTCCATTTTAAGATCTTCAGTGGCTTAGCAAGTTCAGTGGGAAAGTTTTTTTTTAGAATTCTAATTTTAATAATAGAAAATGTTTTATGCTTTCCTATCTTTAGCTCCTAAAAGGAGTAGAGATTGAAGTTTCAGAATGAAACCAAGAGTGTTTAGGGATTAAGTTGCTCTTTATTACAAGGATGTTGTGACATTTGACATGTTGTTAAAGTCAGGGCCCCAGGCTGCAGTAGCCCCAGCCGCCTTCCCTAAGAGCTGGGAGGCATGTCCAGCCTTCCGCACCCCAGCTTTTGTGCATTCACCTGTCTGCTGCTCTCCACACTACACCGATGCATTGCATGCCTTGTTTTCAAGCAGATTTAAATGCATATATTCATATTTACCCTTCTCTCCTGATAAGGTTTCCTGGATACAAAATTAAAAACTTGGAATTTTTTTTTTTTTCCTTCTGGTATCTCTTTCAGCAAAAGTCAGGCAGTAGTTTTAAAGGTTTTCTGTGTGATTAGAAAGCACCTTTACCTCAGCAAGGCCGAATGCAACCACAATCTGTGGTTTCCACCTTGTTTCTTTGTGTCCTTGAATGTTTCATTTTTCGTTCCTGAAAATTTTCTTCTGACATTTTGCAAATAAGATAGACAGATCTATAGATTTGCATATTTTGAGGGATGACATTTTAGCTACTTCACTTTAGGAGATTTTCACTGGAAATAGTCTCTTTCCAGTAATGAAACCTGCGTGTGCAGTATTTTCTCGATGGGTCTGAAAAAATGGACCAACTTTCTTTCACATTTAAGCAAAGCATAAAGTAAGTGTATATTTTAAATATGATGTAGGCTAAGTTCAGACCTTAAATGCCTATAAGCCTCTTTTCTATTTACTGAATCATTTTATAGTATTTGCATAATTCTATAAATTTTTGAAGTGTAGATAAAGCAAATGTTCACACATTGTATTATAATGCTCAGTTTCCCCATTAGTTCAACAGCAATTAACTTGTTGAAGCCTAGAGCTTCAAAAATAAATGAGATTATTTGTTCAAAATGCCATCAGGTCTTCCTGGAATGACATTTAAATTATATAATGTAAATCCATTTGACCTGTGAGTCCTTGTCATTATTTAGTGACATTTCTTACAGAACAAATTGTGTGCAGGTTGGGCAGCCTGCTATGGAGCTTGGCAGAGAGCTATAAAAACAAATTATCCTTTCATTTTATACATCATTTGTTCAAACATTTGTAAAAATTGCTTTGTTTTTCTATAATAGAGAAATGTCATTCAATGGTTAAAAGCACATTAGCTATTTTAGATACAGACCACAGACTGTATCAGGCAAGAGTGTGTGTGAAGGAAGAGCACCCAGCATTATGTCCATCACTGCGCGTGCTTTCAGCTAAGGACAACGAATCCCTTCTCCCTTTGCCTGCTAAATTTACCACAAAATAGAAAGGACAGTGAATATAAGTATCTTTTTAAGTTTAGAAATGTGTGATTGTTTGTTTCTCATTTTGTTCCACTTTGCTTGTAGCTTTTCCTTTGGCATTTGCCTTACGGGTAGAGTGAAGTATTGGAAGTAGCAGTGCTATTTCCCAGGTTCACCACGGAGCTGGCATATCAGACAAGGCCACATGGCACAGAGGAAAGAAGCATCATCCCTACTGTCCTCAGAAGTCAGTCATTTTCAAATAAGTGTTATTTTTTGTTTTGTTTTATTTTATTTTATTTTTTAGACTGAATCTCTGTCGCCCAGGCTGTAGTGCAGTGGCGTGATCTCGGCTCACTGCAACCTTCACCTTGCAGGTTCAAGTGATTCTCCTGCCTCAGCCTCCCATGCAGCTGGGACTACAGGCAGGCGCCACTACACTTGGCTAATTTGTGTATTTTTGGTAGAGATGGGGTTTCACCGTGTTGGCTAGGCTGGTCTCGAACTCCTGACCTCAAGCAGTCTACCCGTCTCAGCCTCCCAAAGTGTTAGGATTACAGGCGTGAGCTGCTACACCCAGCCAGAAGTATTATTTTTAATTCATCTTATAGGCATGAGGATATGTGTATTTTACTGCTTTAAAATAAAGCCACGTCCTCAGTGAAAGAGTATGTTAACAATCCAGAGGATTGTGGCACTAACACATTAAACAGAGATACTTCTTTTAAACTTTCTGACTTTTGCTAATAAGGCCAGACATTAAGAAAGTCACAACTTAATGAGCTTTATTCCACTTTTTATCTCATTCCCCTGAGCAGCCATGTGTCACTCGCTCTGCTGGTAATGGCCCTGCTGTTGCCTTGGGGCTGCACCTGCCAGGGGCCGGGGGTGGAAGCCACTCAAGAGCTCTTAGAGCCTGCCCAGGAGAGAGCATCTTCAGTGACTGCTGTTTCATTTCCAGCTTAGCTGAAGGCCTGCAGTAAGCATTAGTAAATATGCTTTAGTAAATAAACACTAGTAAATAAACTAGGCTCACTACAGCACTGGGTTATTTTGAAGTGTCTGTCTGTAATGGGACCTGTTAAGTAAGCTTTTTTCTTTTTTTGAGATGGAGTTTTGCTCTGTTGCCCAGGCTGGAGTGCAGTGGCACGATCTTGGTTCACTGCAACTTCTGCCTCCCAGGTTCAAGTGATTCTCCCTCCTCAGGCTCCTGAGTAGCTGGCATTACAGGCGCCCACCACTACGCCTGGCTAAGTTTTGTATTTTTAGTAGAGACAGATTTCACCATATTGGCCAGGCTGGTCTCAGACTACTGACCTCAAGTGATCTCCCCATCTTGGCCTCCCAAAGTACTGGGATTACAGATATGAGCCACCACACCTGGCCTAAGTAAGCTTCTTGAAGGCAGGTTGTCATACCGTGTTTGCCAGCCCAGCACATAGTAGACCTTCAGCAATATTGTTTGAATAAAGAAAGAACTTTATAACTCCCTAGAGGGCAGTTTAGGACTTTGGGCATTTAAGCCTTTGTGAACTGTAATTCATCCAAGGGCTATGATTATAGTCCAGGAGGCAGGCTGAAACCTTGGTCGTTAGCTGTGGCTGGATAACAAGGCCTGTCATCTCATCTCTGCTGTAATTATAAAATGCATGCTACACATAGCTTTGTGCATCTTCTTGGTGCTGAAGCTACACAGAGATTCCTATTATACATTCAAAACGGTGATGGTGAGACAGTCTTGTGATTGGAATGGATGTTGTAAGCTCAGCTGCCGGGTTTGTCTTTTGTGTAGAAGGCCAGCTTGGCACTGTTCAGGCAGTGAGACTACAAACCAGGATCACTCACCCCTGATAGCTCTCGCCTCCACCTCCTGCTCTGCCAGGCGTGGAAACCAGACTCATGTTCTTTCTGCATCTTAAATCTGTCTAGTTTAGAGGACCAAAGACAGCCACTTTTTGGCACGGATGTGTCAAGTTATCGTATCATTGATTGCTGTGGAATGGCTCGTGCCAGTTGAGAGTATTCAAAGGAAAGAAGCCTGGCTTGGAAAAATGGTGGCACTTTTAAAAATTAGTATTTGTTCGTACTTGTTTCCTTTAGCATTACACTCTAGGTGAGGGTAGCACAGTACACGAGGCCCAGAGTAAGTGTTTAGTAAGTGTCAGTTGAATTAAACTGAATTTCAGTAAAACCTTTCACTGAGGAATTCTGTGCACCTTCATTGCATTTTCATTGAAACCCTCTTATTCCTCTGACCACGTGGGACAAAATGTGAGACAGTCCCTGTAATTTGTTGGTACGGAGGACAGAGCTAACATCTATTTGTTCTTGTGTTCCTGGGTCTGTCAGAATGACAAGCTCTCAAGTGCAGCCAAGCTCACATGAAACTTTTTTCCTGCTGGAATCCGCATTCTAGACTCTGGCATGGGAGAGGGGATGCATATTATGTGTCATTATGTATGCTCATTGTCATTCCAGCCACTTTTTTTCCTCACTTAAGAACGCTTATTGGAATGCGAGTGAATGAGAGTGTCATTGTTAGAAAGAAAATCTTGAATTTTTCAAAAGTAAACTATTTGTAAATGTCACAACTTGAATTGTAGGATGTCTTGCTTGTAGACATCCAAGGCCTCTGTTGGATGGCGTTCACGCTGGAGTCTTAGCACTGAGTTGGAATAAATAAAACATCCTGGTGGGATGTATGAATGTGATGAGGCTTCTCTTAGAAACCGCAGCACCAGAGCTAGTTGCGTGCCCTGCTCCAAAACCATGGAGAACAGCCTGCCGTGGCTTTTTCTGCAAAGGATGTTGAATTTTAATGATTTTAAATAAACTCCTTACAACCATCTTCCTCATTTTAGTTCAGTCCAGCAGGCACAGACTCCTCTCAACACAAGAAGGATAAACGCATCCCGCAGTGTCCTCATTGGGCCTCTGTGGGAGATTCTGCACTCAGGAGAATTCCTGGAAGAGAGCTCTTACGGCCTCCTGAGAAATTAACTCCTTGACCACTTGCAAGTGACTCTCAGGTTTCAGAAAAAAAAAAAAAAAAAAAAAAGGAAAGGAAAGGAATTAAATCAGCTGCTATGATTCCTTTTTTCCAGGGAGGAAAAAGGAAAAATGCTTTCCCTGTATTCTGAGAGTCTTTTCTTGGTCCTTAGTCCCTGCCCCTCACACCCATGGGAGGCGGAGAATCGTAGTGTGGTGGGAACTAGAAAACGAGTTTGTGCCGTAATACTAGGGTGCCCTGTGTTCCTTAAACTGCATATAGTTTCTCATAATCAGAACTAAAGAAAAGTTATGTGTAAAATATTTGCGTTTTCGCATCAGAAGTATTGTGTATCCCCCATATTGAGTAATAAGATATTGGCTATTTCAGAATCTTGTTTCCATGGTTTTTGTTTGTTTGTTTTTTTGAGACAGAGTCTCGCTCTGTCACCCAGGCTGGAGTGCAGTGGCTGGATCTCAGCTCACTGCAAGCTCCACCTTCCGAGTTTACGCCATTCTCCTGTCTCAGCCTCTCAAGTAGCTGGGACTACAGGCGCCGGCCACCTCGCCTGGCTAGTTTTTTGTATTTTTTTAGTAGAAACGGGGTTTCACCGGGTTAGCCAGGATGGTCTTGATCTCCTGACCTCGTGATCCGCCCGTCTCGACCTCCCAAAGTGCTGGGATTACAGGCTTGAGCCACCGCTCCCGGCCCCATGTTTTTTGTTATTGTTGCTAATTCTGTTTTTATTTATGGTAGTATCTGTGATTTTTTTCCTTATTGCTTTTTTAAGCAAAAACCCTTGGAATTGAAATATTGTCACCTGCAGTTTCTGGCTTGATGATTTGTTACATGTTGCTTTAGGTAGCCCTTTTGTTAGGTTGGATACACAAGCAGTAGCAGTCTTTTAGGTTATTTTTGTTAGACTCTGCCCCTCTGGAACAATAGCAAGAGAGGATTGTGGGTCTTGGCCTAGAAGTCTGAACTCAAAAGCTACACTGCCTGCCTTCTAAGACAATTCCTTATAAAAGTAAACCTAGCAAAACAGTAAGAGACTTCCCCACTGCTATTCTGGTGAACAGTCAAAAACAGATACAAAACGTTGTTGTAAAAAACATGGGACTGGTGCAAAAGTAATTGAGGTTTCTGCCGTTGAAAGTAATGGCAAAAACCGCAATTACTTTTGCACTCACTGGTTTGAGTGGAAGTCAAAACCCAAGCAAACTCCCGTTTTTGTTTTTGTTTTTCCCTGATTCGTAACTCTTTGTAACATAGCTGGATTCTTTTGAAAAAGTTTGATATTGTCTTCTTTGTTGTCTTTAAGGACCTCTTAACAGTGGTGTTAATTCAGACTCTAAAATCTTTCAGCACTAACACTCCAAGAAAGGCTGTGTTTGCGGGAAGCATGCAGTTGCTGGCCGGAGTCAAGCTGTGCACGGGAAGGACCCTAACCAACCACCCGCACTACGAAGACAGCAGCCTGAGAGAGCGGACCAGAGCGGTGAGGGTTCCCTGTGCCTCCCCTCACTTCTTGTGGCCAGCCATGGGCTGCACGTCCCTGTGTGTGGTAAAGATGGGGCTGAATGCTGCACCCTCCAGCATTAGGTTAGGAGGGTGTGTTAGTCTGTTTTCATGCTACTGATAAAGGCATACCCAATACTGGGCAATTTACAGAAGAAAGAGAGGTTTAATGGACTTACAGTTCCACATGGCTGGGGAGGCCTCACAATCACGGCAGAAGGCAAGGAAGAGCAAGTCATGTCATACATGGATGGCAGCAGGCAAAGAGAGAGCTTGTGTACGGAAACTCCCCCTTATAAAACCATCAGATCTCGTGAGATTTATTCACTACCACGAGAACAGCACGGGAAAGACTTGCCCCCATGATTCAGTTACCTCCCACCAGGTCCCTACCACAACATGTGGGAATTCAAGATGTGATTTGGGTGGGGACACAGCCAAACCATATCAGAGGGGAAATCAGAGCGTAAGTGCACAGGGCTCACATCTCCTGGTTCGGGACCTCTGCCTGCCCACATCCACTAAGGACGTGCCATTAGGGCCACAGGTCCTCCCCAGGGAAGAACCGAGAAGACACACGCCTTGAGATGTGCAGAAAAGAGCGTTTAGGAGCAAAGCTTTTGGATTAGGGAGGGGAAGGAAAAGGAGTTGAGGCATACTGGTCACATTTCTCATGGACTATTCTGAAGTCTGGGGTTTTTGTTTTTTAATAGATAATAATAGTCTCATAGTTCAAAATTCAGAACATACAAAAGGAAATATAGTGAAAAGTGCCTCTCCCATTATTGCAGTTCTTAGTTCCCCTCCTAGGAGGCAGATAATGTTAGCAGTTTCTTGTGTCTCCTTCTACAGGTATTTCATGCATATACAAATATGGTAGAGGAGGGTGGTGCTCCTTTCTCCATTTTAACAAAAGAAGTGGCATTCTATATTCTGCTTCTTCAGCACTTAATGTGTTTTGGAAATCATTCTATATTCAGTATATTAACAGCTTCCTTGTTATTTTTAAAGCTGCTTACTTAATATTTTATATGGCTATGGCATATTTTATTTAGCCATTTCTGCTGTTTCTCTGTCTTTTGTGATTATATGAACAATGCTGCAGATAAATTTGTCTGCACATCACTCTTTCCAGACACAGTGTCTGTCTGTACAGCAGATTCTTGGATGTGGAAGTGCTGGGTCAGGGTTGTTGGCATCTGTAATGTAGATCGAAAGATTTATCAAGTCCTCTCTTGATAAATCTTTATCAGGTCATATTTGTTTACATTCAAGTCAGCAATGCAGGAGGGTGCCTGTGTCCCTTCATCCCCACCAATCAGGTTTCAAACTCATAAATGTTTCCTAATGTCACTTTTTCATGTTGGCATTTGGAAAGTTGTTAAAAAAAAGTCTTGTTTTGAGGTGCTATTTAGCCTGAAAGCAGATGATTTTTACTAAATCTCCTGTTTTGTGTAAGAATCATTTGAATTTAGACTCCTGCTAAAATAGGAATTTTTTGGTGGGCTCACGTGTTCCAGATAGTTCCAAATTAACTAGGAGGATGCAGGAAAGAGGCTCCCTCGTTTTCCAGACACCAGGTTCATCCGGGGTGGCCTCTACTGCTTGGACTGGAGACTACAGAAAAGACAGGTTAGGTACACAGAGCGTCCTTCTTGGCATCTCCTTTCCTGTCTCGGTACTAGGGTTAGGCCCCACACACTGAAATCCTGAAGGCCCTACGACTCTTCATCATGACCCTGGAATCCTTGGAATGCCTTCAGTCCGAGACCTTGTGCTGGACTATAGGACGACACAGTTGTCACAGTAATAGCATCCTACCTCCGTACCATTTCACCCATCCGTGTGGACACATCAAGTTAGACCCTTAAGCCCAAATCAGAAATCTAGCATCGAAATCAGGGTGCAAGAAAGGAGGCAGTGCCTCTCTTCATGAACCCCCACATTCAACACCTCACAAAGTCTGTTTCCATTCCAGCCCTAGAATCTAGGACGCTCAGTTTGCATCCATCCACTAAGGGTGTGTGGCACTGGTATGAACGTGAAGGGGGCCTCCTGTGGCATTGCCCACGGTGTGCTGCAAGTGGCTCTCACCCCCAGGATGGACGAGAGGGAGAGGAGCAGGGGGGTCTCTCAGTTAGCCGAGATGCGGTGTAGCAGGTAAAGCAGCCTGTGCTGCCCCAGCCTAGAAGCAGGGACCCTACAGGGGTCCTTCTCCCCACCTACCTGTATCAGAAGCTGGAGCTCTGCCCTACTGGGAAGCGTGTCCCCCAGACTGTCCCATCGCTCTTAATGGGCCATTTTAGTCTAGGGGTCCCCTTTTTAAAAGTAGAGACTATATCTTATTTACTCAGTCCTGTCATTTACCTTGGAACAGCGCCTACTAATGAATATAGTCCTAACTTGAAGTAATATATTCTGAATCCAGATGTGTTCTTCCTGGCTCACTCTCTTCCCAAGGCCGAGCACTCACAGTGTTTTGGGAACTTCCACGCACACGCTCCAGGCCTGCAGATGAGTGCGTGCAGCGTGGCCTCGGCTGGAGAGAGCACCTTGGGCGTTAGGTCTTAGACTCAGCCCTGTGAAAGGCTGCATCACATAGTGAACTCCCTGGCAGTTGAGTAGCATTTGCCACATTGCATTTTTATCTCTTTTTGAAGGTTTATCAGATATATGCCAAGAGGGCACCAGAGGAAGTGCATGCCCTCCTAAGGTCCTTTGGCACCGACTACGTAATCCTGGAAGACAGCATCTGCTACGAACGGAGGCACCACCGGGGCTGCCGACTCCGGGACCTGCTGGACATCGCCAACGGCCACGTGAGCCTGCTGCCTCTCCCTGTGTGGGGGTCCCCTGCCCCTCCTGCTCTCTCCCACTGAGTGTCCTGTGTCCACTGGTGCATTTCCACAGGTCGGCTTTCAGAGGCTAAGATGCACTCCAGGGCAGGACTCTGATTTGAATCCTAAGAATGTGCATCTTTTTATCTTTTGTGTCTAGTTGAATTACGCTACAAATCAAGTATTGACTTTTTCTCTTGCTTCCTGCAGAACTTCTGCCTCTCTTGGCACTTTAGTGACTGCCACTGGGGCTGGGCAAGGAAGAGGTGAGAGGGGAGCCCTGGGTCCCCAGTGTCACACCAAACAGCAGCTCTGCCTTCAGCTCATTTGTATGATAGGGCTCTGCATAAAATGTATCTGTTAAGGATTTTGCTGCTATAAACAAAGCCTCAGCCTTTAAACCCACTTCTCCAATGCTTCGTATTGGCTAGCCGCTGCATGGCGGGGATGGTGGGGCCCTCCTGCCCTCCAGTCTAGGTGGTGGATTCCCCCTGCCCCTCCTGCTGTCTCCCACTGAGTGTCCTGTGTCGTCTGGTGCGTTTCCACAGGCCAGCTTTCAGAGGCTAAGTTGCACTCCAGAGCAGAAAAGCAGTCAGCCGCTTGTCCCCTCTCCCTTCTGAGGAAAGTGTTCTTGGAGCTATGCCAGGTCTCAGTAAGCAAACAGATTTTCACCCTTTAGAGGTGTGAGGTATGCAGTAATTAATGGTATGAAGGCCAATAGATATTTGTAAACGAGTTGTACAAAGTGACAAACCTAGCCTTAATTTGAAAAAAAAAAAATTCTTAACTGTACAAAATTTGAGATTCAGATTTTTGCCCAAGGAGAATCATAGTTCATAATTGTCTTGAGTTCAGAGGTGGTGCAGACCAAAGACATCCATTTAAATTTTGATTTGAGTGTGACTTTTTCAGGTTATTTATTTATTTTTGGAGACAGAGTCTCACTCTGTAACTCAGACTGGAGTGCAGTGGCACGATCTTGGCTTACTGCAGCCTCAGCCTCAACCTTCCAGGCTCAAGTGATCCTCCTACTTCAGCCTCCCAAGTAGGTGGGACCACAGGCATACATCACCATACCCAGCTAATTTTGTTTATCTTTTGTAAAGAGGGGGTCTGGCTGTGTTGCCCAGAGAAGTCTCAGACTCCTGATCCAAGCGATCCTCCTGCCTCAGCCTCCCAAAGTGCTGGGATTTTGGGCATGAGCCACCACACCTGGCCGAAGTGTGACTTTTTCTGATGAATTAGAAAGCTTTCTCTGATCACAGTAGTTCTCTGTATTTCATTACTGTGAGAGAGACAGTATAGTATGTTCCTAAGAGCAAGCAGACCTGAGTTCTGGTTCTGGCTTTCCCATTAATGGGATCATCATGTGACGCTGCACTCTCCTTCTCAGCCATGGTCTGCACTTCTGAAGGGGGAAAAGGATGGGCCAGATGATCTCCAAGTGCCAATGGACATTGAAATAATATAATTTAATTTCACTCACATACCATTCTTAAACTGAATACCCATTCCTGCTCCTACTGTCTTTTGTAAGTAGCATTTCCCCTCAAAATTGTATTTGGGTTTGTTTTGGTTTTAGATGATGGATGGCCCAGGAGAGAATGATCCTGATTTGAAACCTGCAGACCACCCTCGCTTCTGTGAAGAGATCAAAAGAAACCTGCCTCCCTACGTGGCCCACTTCACCAGAGTGTTCCAGAACAAAACCTTCCACGTTTACAAGCTGTCCAGAAACAAGTAGCACAGATTTCTGCCCAGTGTCTATTTTTGATACAGTGAAACTGCATCATGATGAAACTCGGTAGATGACGTTTCCTATGTAAGTAGGTAGCCCAAACCTTCAAGCTGTGATATGAGTAAGTTCTACAGATGTTTACACAAGCATTGCCATCTTTGAAAGCATCTTCTACAAGCGGAAGTCTTTTTTGTTGTGTGTCTATCTTTCTCATTAATGTTCTTTAGCCTAAATGTTGACAACTTTCTAAGAGTGACCTAAAATTATGTTGTTGGAAAGAATGATATGTGTTCCATGGATACCTGGATAGGCACATACCATGTTGGAAGATGAGCACCTGCTCAGGATTTGAAATACTTTTAATTTTCAGGTGGCTTAAAACAGCTATGATTGAATCAACTAGAAACGATGATCGGCTTATTTAATATGATTTCACTGGTGAAGACTAATTGGTAGCTTTCTAAAAAGCTCTTTAGTGTCCTGTTTTATCTTAAAATGTTAAAATATTTTCCAATTGTCATGCTTTTAACATTAACAAAAAAATCATGTTAGGGCTTTGTATCAAACATTTTGTTACACTCTGAAATGTAATGTGGAGTATTTCAGCACTATGTGTCATGTATTTGTGTGTGTGTGTGCGTGTACACGCATGTGTTTTAATGCTGGGCACAGAAAAGTGTTACAAGTTCCATATTGTAAGTCCTTAAAGGGGCAGAAATGTATGTAGCCAAGTAGAATTTATTACATTTTAGTGTTATTATTTTAAAACTTACTGATACTCTAACCTCTCCTGCAAGTAATAGTTTTGCTTTATTTCTTACTCATTTCAATTTATTGGGTTTGCAAAATTTTGTAAACTTTTTGTGTTTTTAGCCTTTGTATTTTTTACAGCCTAGAATCTTGCAAAGTCTGAATATTTTTTAAATGTTCTATCTTAACTAGTTCACTAACACAGTATTTTTAGCAGACAGCATTTTCAGACAGCATTTTCATACCAAGTTTGACTTGTGGTCTCCAATCTTACTGGGAGGGCCCTGGTAGTGTAATTCTTTTCCTTACTAAAAGGTAACCAAGTGCCTCTAAGTCATGCTTATTTGTAAACAACAAAGAAGAGTATATGTACTTGCTCAAAATTTTTTTGATAATTGCTTATGTAATTAATTTCTAATGATGAGGACATGTAAAAGTTGCTAGTAAGAACATATTATGCATTTAATTAAATCAAGATGGCTAATGGAATTAACTTTCTCCCCTGTTCTTGCCAGGTGGAAATGATATAAGCATTTCTGCTTGCAGTTGTATTGAAGTAAATTACCGTAGACATCAAGATGGCTACATCACATTTTCAAATGATTTTATATTCAATTACTACTTATTAAGCAACATTCAAAAAGTCTTTTACACTGTCATGTTGGACACAAGCAGACTCAGCTTTTATCAAAACTTGTTTAAATAAAAAATTGACAGTAGCTGGGTTATTAAATTATGCAACTGAAACTCCTGAATTATACCTTTTTTGTATCCCTTAATATGATTGGAGACCACTGCAGTTTAGGATAATACAATAATAAAACGTTTTAATCAGTACTAAAACTTAATAATTAAGCCAATAATGATGCATGCCTGTTGTAGCTGACAGCATGGGTCAGTACATCCTTCAGCGAGTGCCTTACTCTAATTGAAACCAAGCACACGTAAGGTACAATATGTTAGACTCTGTGGTTTTGTTTTCAAAATCCTCTGTTATGGCTATATTTAAATTTGTTTTAAGTATTCCTGTATGTATTCATCTAAGCATTTGGGCATTTGGAGTCTTAATATACAAAAAACATGCACTTAAATTTGTATGCTTATCACCGCAATGATGGCAAACAGTGATTTTTTTTCTTTTTCATAGTTTAGGTGTCATTGTTGCCAGCACCTTTAGTGCTCAGTCTTCAGTGAAAAATATAAAGTGCCAAAAAAATCTTGCAAGACAGAATCCATACTTAACACTCTTTCCAAGACACTGTGACCATGTACAGTAGAAGTTTTTATTTCCTGATGACCAAATCTATCAACGAATCATGTTATTAATAAATATTTTTAGCACTCGTCAGTATTCTCCAATGTGACCTTCTCATTGGAGTACACAGAAGGAAAGCAAAGAAGAGCATCTGACTTCTGGCTCTGGCTTACAGCCTCTCCACCAGGCCGAACAAAGCAAGAGACCCACGGCAGTAGCTCCCCGCCACTCAGACCTGGGTGGTGCTAGTCTGAAAGAATGGCTCTGTTTTCTGTTGATAGAAAACCCACTTGATTTTGCTTCTGAGTTAGCAATCAGAAGACCCTCTAAGTACAATAGAAGTGCTCTTAACGGACTCTGCCTATGTGACTCCCAGGCCCCGGAGTCTCCATCTCTCTCGTAAGCCACCTGCCCTGGCACAGCTGGAGGCTGCTCTCTGGTGTTCTCAGTGCTCTGGCTCCCTCCCTTGAGTTGTGCGCCCGTCCCAAACTACTACATGCAAGCTCTGCTTCCTCTTGTAAGTACACAACTCAGTTAAGTATTTACGTACACGTAGAAAATACGGGTGTGAAAAGAAAGAGCTTTCTGTAAAAATTAAGTTGAATGCTTTGGTAAGAAGTGATAAAGTCTAGTTGCCAATAAAAGTTGCTTTTAAATTAGGTGTGGCTGGGAAAATTATAAGATATTGGGGAAAATATACGAATCAAGAAAATTTCTGAGCTTAGATTGCTTCATAGATTTATGTAAGTACTCATCCCACCTTTTAAAACTCTAAACCGAGAAGAGGGGACCCAAATCATGTTACTGGTGTGATTTATGTGAGAAGTAGAACTATAGTCATTGGACCCTTAGGCAAAGGAAAAACTCATGTCTTTATATCAGAAGATCAGCAAACGAATGTACAGTTACACAGTTGAGGTTATGATTCCCTACTTTAACCTACTTACTTTATTAAATGACCAACTACTGATACTGATCACAATAGTTATTAGAGATTCTAATTTAGTGGGAAGGTTCTAATCACTTTTATTACAGGCATTTGAAAAATAGGGATTCATTTCAAGTATATTAGCCAGGAGCATAGTTAGATGTTACCCAGGCCTTTTGTCATCGTGTTAATGATGATTTTCCTGACCCTTGTGAGATCAGTGTGACAGGAGTGTGTGCGTTTGTGTTTGTGTGTGTGTGTGTGTGTTTGGTTGGATGCTGCCAGGTGGCAAAGGCATATGTAAATACATCATCCGATCTGCATCTTTATTCCACAATTAACTAAAAGTAAAAATGTCTATTCTGATTCTATATTAATTTTGTCTAAGATGTAAAAATTTTAGTTCATCTTTGGCCAAAACCTACCTAAATTAACGTACAAATATTTGGTTTTTAAAATTTAACTCAAATCTCAAAATCAATAAAGTGTTATCAGATCCTGTATCTTGGTTAATATGCTCCCAAATACTTTAAACATGGCAACCTTTTGGCCTAAGAGAGTGTTTGTCTGTTCGTGGAAAAAAGCTTTTGAGATGAGAGAATGTCTTACTTTCTTGTGGCAATTGATTTTCTGTTTTTAACACCCTTTGGGTAAAATCTTACAAAGAGCTTTTATAATTTGTTTTACTGAATTGTATGGAGATTGTATACTAAGTAAAGCTCTTTTAAATTGCATGAGTGTCTTGCATTTCTTTGAAGGTCAAAGCCCAAGGAACCTGCTTGTTGAAGTGCATTAAATATTTGCTAAATAGAGTAAATCGCTAAAGATGGGTGTGTCAGGATCTTAATTGTAACTGTTATTGTTGAGGGTGTTTATTTTTTCACACGGATTTTGGTTTGACATCTGCTTATTTGTTTCACTTGAATTCCAAAGTTATAGTTTAGATTTATAAAGAGAAGACTACTGTCAGCAGAATTTATCCTTGAAGGGCTAAATGCTATTTGTTTTGACCTCAAGAACAGTTTCTACTTAATTAAATTCTGACTCTTTAGTAGTTCAGGAAGATGGGTGGTAGTGCACCTGCTTGGTTAGAGTGTATAGATAACAAATGTGTTGGACTATTACGTTCAAAGCAGAAGTTGAAATTTCAAGCAAAAATGGTCAGAAAGACAAAATGGAAAAAAACCGGCAGTGAGATCTCAAATATTCTGTACTGACAGGTGGTCCCTAGCAAAATAAGAATAATAGTATAGATAAGCGAGAGATGTGGGATATGAATGAACTGAACATGGAATGGGCTGACATGGACACCAGGCACTTGACAGATGAAATGCTTTTTTTTCTCTGCCCCTCCTTTCAGATAAGGTGTCTGAAACTCATCTCATAAACCTTTTCATTATTATTTAGAAGTTTGCTTTGTAAGATTGTTTTTCAACATGCACATAATAGACCTATAGTATAATGTGAAGTCAATTTCATGGGTTACAACCAACATTTAAAAGGAAAGGAGGGAGGGAGGGAAGGAGGAGGACAGCCCAATGTTCAGTGTAAGTGCTGTTTTGTGGAAGATCTGTTCCAGTTATACATGTACATATTCATGTTTGGGGGGTACAATATAAAATACATTTCTTCTGAGTTATAGTCAGGCTGAAAGCCCGGCTTTATTAGCTGGGGGATTCTGGGAGGATGGCAGCTTGAACTTGTCTGTGCCCTTGCCCTCTGTGCTAGCCGAACTGTCTAAATGAACATTGGTGATATTAAAGAACTAGCATAATGATACAGAATGGCTGGGCTCCCAGCTAAACCCCACCCTTAAGCCCGGAACCCTGACCCTAAGTGAAAACAGCTGTGTTTCTGCCCAAATGTTGCCTTTTGCAGCTGCCAGAGCCCTATCCTGTGCCCATAAAAATACTTCAGATGGCAGAGCAACTCAAGCAGCTGAACAGCAGGGATACAAGCCGCCAACTGGCGGGAGTACAAGCAGCTGAGCAGCGGAGACTGTGGATAGACCCAGCTAACTTCAGACATGTGGCTTCAGGGAAAGATCACCTTCCCACACCATCCCCTTTCCAACTCCCATCCCACTGAGAGCCACTTCCATCACCCAGTAAAATCATCCACATATTACTACCCTTCAGTCCGTTCGTGTGACCTGACTCTTCCTGGATGCTGGACAAGAACCCAGGTGCCAGGAGGGCAGGGGCTTGGATGCTGCTGTGGGGCCCACACACAGCCTGCCTCCTGCCAGAGAGGAGCAACTGGCCAGTTCCAGCCTTCCTTCCCTCCAGTTCCTGCACTCACTTGCTCGCATACTCCCTCTCGCGAGGAGTGGCCAGCAGCAGGCTGAGTGAAACAGCCACTCCAGTTCTCACCCACGAAGGGGTTCCCTTGCTCAAGGGAACAGTCCCATCTCAATAATTCTTATATGTGATATGGACATTTTCTTAAGTTTCTTTAAAATCATTATATTTTAAAATATATACTGAAATATTTACAGGCAAGTGTATGTCTAGGATTTGTGTCAAAATAATTTTGTGGGGCATCTAGATGAAACAAACAATGAAAACATATGGTTTAAGCTAGTTTGGAATTTTTTTATAATGAAAAGAGAGAAATTAAACCCAACGAAACAGACCAGGAAACTAGGAAGATAAAATTTATGAGATGGCTGAAATCAATCAATGCAACAAATAGTAAGAAGGATAAATAAACTCAAAATTCAGTTCTTTTAAAATGAAGCAGATAAACACTGGGCTAACCTGATTAAGACAAAACAACAAAAATATAAAACAGTAGAAATGTAAAAAATGTAATTCCAGAATCAGGAATAATAATTATATGAGGATAACATATGCAATTTTGTAACAAAAATAAATAACCTATAGGAAATGGGTGACTTTCTAACAAAATAGAAAATGTCAATGTGGCCTGAAAAAAGAAGTTGAAAACTTGGATAGACAAGACCCATGAAAGTTCTCGCATGGGGTTCAAAGGTCACAAAGGACATTTGGACAAGAAGGGTACACACCAGATTCTTTCTCACTTTTAAAGAGGGGATGACTCCCAAGTTCACTTAGTCTCAGCCATAGAATAGGGAGAGCCCCAAGTTTTAGGAAAGCTAGTCCAACTTTCACACCAAAATAGCACAGAGAATGTGTCCGTTTTCTATTACTACATAACAAATTACCACAAATTTTGCAGCTTGAAACAACACACGTCTATTATCTCAAGGTTTTGTGGATCAGGAGCCAAAGCACAGGTTAGCTGGGTCCTCTCCTGTCTCACAAGGCTGCAATCAAAGTATCAGCCAGGCTGCTTTCTCATCTGGAGTTAGGAGACCTCTTCCAAGTTCACACAAGCTGGTGGCAAAATTAAATTCCTTATGCCTGGGACTGAGGCCATTAACTCATAGAGGCTACCCCTCTCTAGGCGATTCACAGCATGACCGTTAGCCTCTTCAAGGCCATCAGAAATCATCTCTCCAGTTCGTCTTTTAAGAGTTTTTCGGCCGGGCACGGTGGCTCACGCCTGTAATCCCAGCACTTTGGGAGGCCAAGGCGGGTGGATCATGAGGTCAGGAGATTGAGACCATCCTGGCTAACACAGTGAAACCTTGTGTCTACTAAAAATACAAAAAATTAGCTGGGGGTGGTGGTAGGTGCTTGTAGTCCCAGCTACTCAGGAGGCTGACGCAGGAGAATGGTGTGAACTCAGGAGGTGGAGCTTGCAGTGAGCCGAGATCGCGCCACTGCACTCCAGCTTGGGCGACAGAGCAAGACTCTGTCTGAAAAGTAAAAAGGGGGGTTTTCACCTGGTTTAAGTCAGACCCACCCGATATAATCTCCATTTTTGTTAGCTCAAAATCGGCTTATTTGTGACCTGAATTACATCTGCAGAATCCTTTTGCTTTTGCTATATAGCCTTGCCTAATTGCATAAGTAGGAGTGGCATTTATATTCATAGGCTCATCCACACTCAAGGGGAGGGGCTCTGCAGGGCATTTTCCTCAGGCAGTGGGAATCTTGGGGGCCATCTTAGAATTCTTCCTACCACAGTTTAAAAGGACATAATCTGGGCCAGTCATGGTGGCTCACACCTGTAATCCCAGTGCTTTGGGAGGCCAAGGCAGAATGATCACTTGAGGTCAGGAGTTACAGGATTAGCCTGGGCAACATAGCAAGACCCCATCCCATCTCTACAAAATATATGTTTTTTAAATTAGCCGTGAGTGATGGCACACACCTGTAGTCCCAGTTACTCAGGAGGCTGAGGTGGGAGGATCCCTTGAACCTAGGCATTTGAGACAGCGGTGAGCTATGATTGCATCACTGCACTCCAGCTTGGGCAACAGAGCAAGACCCTGTCCCTTAAAAAAAAATTTAAACGAGGCAAGGCGCGGTGACTCACGCCTGTAATCCCAGCACTTTGGGAGGCCGAGGCGGGCAGATTACTAAGGTCAGGAGATCAAGACCATCCTGGCAAACACGATGAAACCCCGTCTCTACTAAAAATACAAAAAATTAGCTGGGCGTGGTGGTTGGCACCTGTAGTCCCAGCTACTCAGGAGGCTGAGGCAGGAGAATGGCGTGAACCCAGGAGGCAGAGCTTGCAGTGAGCCAAGATCGCGCCCCTGCACTCCAGCCTGGGCGACAGAGAAAGACTCTCCCTCCCTCAAAAAAAAAAAAAAAAAAAACGAAATAACTTTAAAAGAATGGGGCCTGGCGATAATGGTTAACATAAGGCTTTTGTAAACTTTGACAGAAAGGAGGCACACAAGGTGAATCCCAGGTCACCTAGGCTTTCTCCCTTAGAGGCTTTTCCAAACTGTGGCACAGGAAAATGGAGCCCAAGCAGAGTGTGGCAGGCTTCCTGGAGGAAGCAGATTTGAGTTGATAGATGCTAAGGTGGCTGGGATTTGGCAGGGGTTTGGAGGGGCAGAGCACCAGAGAGGAGGGAGTTACAACAAAGAAAACCTAAGAATTTCCTATTGGGTCCTTGGTCAGTTCCTAGCCTGCAGAGGCTTAGCAGAGAACATCTGGTCAGTGGCAGAACTGAACAGAAATTTCAGAGGTTACACAATCCTGAGGAGACTTTGGAATTTGGGTCCAGCTGGGACTGAGAGACCATGGTGAATCTCCCAGGCATTCAGCTGAGACTCTAGAGAGGCTATACCTTATTCTGGGAGTAGAGGCTGTTATCCAAATTGTCTGCCAGAAACAAATGTAAATCTGCTATGAAGGATGATAACCTTATTCATGGCTTCAAATTATCTTTACACTTTTTATATACACAGTGTAGCACTCAATAAAAAATAATCAGGAATAATTTTTAAAAACTGAGACCAGGTGTGGTGGCTCACACCTGTCATCCCAGCACTTTGGGGGGGTTGAGAAGGGAGGATCACTTGAGCCCAGGAATTTGACACCTGGACAACAAAGCAAAATTCTGTGTCTACAAAAAATACAAAAACTTAGGTGTGGTAGCATGTGCCTGTAATCCCAGCTACTCAGGAGGCTGAGGTGTGAGAATCACCTGAGCCTGGGATATCGAGGCTGCAGTGAGCTGTGATCATGTCACTCTGTACTCCAGCCTGGTGACAGAGTCCTGTCTCAAAAAAAAAAAAAAAGACAAAAAACATGACTGAAACAGAATTGAAGTAGAAATAGAGCCACAGGCAAATCAAATATTGCGGCATGAAGCATAGACTTTAAAATAACTATGCTTATCATATTTA